TTCTTCAGTGGGTTTTGTTAATTTTAATAATTTCCATGAGCTCTTCTATTCTGTAATTATGTACTTTGCTGTTAACATGTTGTAGATAACTATATACTGCCATCACTTTTTATTACAGCTCTGTTTAAAAGGGTAACTGGCTAAGTTACCTTCCCCACCAAAATACAATTTCTATTTCCCCAAAATACTGCCTACTAAAGACCAACTTAAGAATTCTCACATAAAAGTTCCATTCAAATCTCCTCTGGCTTTTGACTGTTAGTAAGTTGGAGGAAAAACAAAAGCCTGGCATTTCCCAATGTTGTCTTTACACTGGAGTATAAGAATTCCCTGTAGGTTCCCTTAAACTCAACTTTGTAGACAAAATGACGGGACTACTAAACACTAGAGTTTGTTTCTAGTAAACTGGGTTGTAGCAGGAATGTCATGTAGTTGATTTGTGCCTCAAAGTTTCAGGCTAACACTTGTTTCCTATATTCCTAACGTTTATATTGTTGATCATAGCACAGAGTAGGTTTCTGCCCTCAAGACGGTTGGAGTCTAAGAGCATCTGTGTGACTGAGTTGGTTAAGCATGAGTTCTGCTCAGGTTGTGATCTCAGGGCCCCGGGATTTCAAGGTGTTGAACAACAACAACTTAGACAACAGGGAGAGGGAACACAGGTGCAGGGGAGAGAGGGAGAAGCAGGCTTCCTGCTGAGCAGGGCTTAACCAGGATCCAAAGCAGACCCTTACTGCCACCCAGAACCATTTTTTTTTTTTTTTAAATAGACTTAACATCTCCAGTCTTCAAAAGCAACATTTTATATGGAGCTGTAGAATAATCAGGTTGAAAAGTGATCTTGTCTCTGGTACTATTCCCCTCCCCCCCCCACCCTTTTTTAATCTTCCTGACCAGGGCCATTGGCTGAATTTTAACAGTCAGGTGAGAAGGCCCGAAAGGCCTCTCTTGGCATTGCATTATAGCAAAGACCCAAATTTATCCAAAGGCTTAGTTCTTTTTGCCAGAAGCCAGTCTTAAATAACTCTGCTTTGTCATGATTGAAACTACTTATGATCCCCAAAGTTACCCTTGACAGTATGTGGAAATATTAACTACCTGCACATCGCATTTCCTGGTTCTTAACACCAGTGACAGTATTTTAACTCCCACTGTTACTCTCAATTTTTAATCAAATTCATTCCTTAAAAAGAATACTTTGACCATTAATGTGTATCAAGAACCTTAAAAACACATCTTTTGATCAAATTACACTGGGAATTCCAAACCCTCTCCAGGGATGTGGATAAAGATTTATGTACCAAGATTAGGCAGGCAACTAAAGGGGTATGGTCAACTAATAACCTATCCATGTAGAGGAATATTATGCAGACACAAACGACATTCATGTCAGGTAAGGATTTCTGCATGTAAATCAGTATAGCCTTTTGGAGAATACTACTTAGCAAAATTTTACAGCTCCACTTCTGGGAATCTAGTAAACTGAAATACTTAGACAAACTGCACAATCAAAATATGGTTAAAATGTATAATGAAGACTTCATAAAATGGCATCAATTTAAATGTATGAGGGATTATGATAGATATTACATAGATAACAAAGAAATGCAATGCCCCAAGGTAAACTTTCAGTAACATTTTAAAAAAGCATTACCTGCTAAGTCACTTTTTAAAAAGGAACGTGTATGGATTTCTTTAAAACCTGTATAATTTAAAAATTTAAAATAAATACTCCAAGAAATTTTCAATGTGAAAATGTTCAGTAATCTTGCATGAAAAAACAGCTTGATAAATGCTCAATCTCTGCATACTATCAAGATACATATATATTAACAGCAAAGGGGGAAAAGGAAACCTACACCATCTTTGTTACTGGAGTAACAGTAATGTATCACTTTTTTTAAGGAGGAGGGGGGAGGAGAGACATTTGTTCCAATACAAGAGCAGTGAATAATCAGTCACAGCCAAGGAGGCTACAGGCTAAACCTTAGCCCCCACCTGTCTTTGCACTGCTCACAAACTTAACACTTTTTTTAAGTGGTTGAAAATATTTTATGGCCTGTGAAAATTAAAGTTTTATCACAGCAGAGCACCTCCAACCATTTAAAATTGTCTATGGATGCGTTCTCACCAACAAGGACAGAGGCGAGTAACCGAACCACAGACAACTAAGCCCCAAATATTTTGTTGTAGGAGGAAAAAAAACCGTGTAAGACTTTCGCCCTATTCATTTCCTTGGCTACTCACAGTCCTAATGCTCCCTACCAAAACCAACCACCCAGTCCAAATCTAGTGCAACCAACCTACCTTATCTAAAATGCTTTTGACAAGTCTTTCAACTTAATTAGATTATACTGAAATTTAATTGGGATTTACTAATCTAGATCATAGAACTATTTAAAAAGAGTCATGGTGGGTGAGAATGGATTAGAGTATGTAAAAAGGAAGCCTGCTAGGTACTCTCTACAAAGGTGGTGAGGTTATTCAGTCTTTCTAAGACCTGTTTTGTCCCACAAATAACATGATTAGAGAAAAATGGTAAAAGTTCCTTAATGAGCAACACAAAATGTACTTTTAAATGATCAGATTTCAGTTGTGACTCTGCTAGGAGACACAATAAGCAAGGTTGAAAAATACTCTGCAATTATTCTGCTTCTACAACCAAGTCAGAAACAATTACATCAAGTCAGTAGAGGCTTGGCTGTGTACCAAGTCTACATTCACACAACTGAAATGCCACACCAACAGGCACAGATAAAATGAGACCAACTGAAAGATCGTCCAGATGTAACTGGGGAGAAAAAGGAGTACTGGAACTCTTCATGTGTAGTTCCATACTCAAAAGGAAAAACTGTGGCCCAAATCCTAGTTTTGCAGCCAATGGGAACTTATCCAATTTGTAACAAAGCTGTAGCAAAGCTAACCCTTGGAACAAATCCTCCCAATTTCCAACATCAATGAGAAATGGAAATTAACACAGGGGCATAGAGTTAAGGAAACAAAGTATCACCAGGCTGGGTGGAAGATTACAGGTTTTTATTCTTTATATTTTTCAAGTTATTACATTCAACATGTTTTGCTTTTGTGATCATTAAATCATTTAAAAAAAAAATAAACCCCTGATATAATTCCTTAAACTAAGCAGCATGCTAAATAGCTAAATGAAATGTTACCCCCCAGCCCAAAAATACATTATTCTAATGAGATACTACATTTTTCTTAAATCGACTGATAAATTAGCTGCCATGAATAATGGCATTTAATTACTTGCTTTTTGGCCAGCTTTCCCAGATAAGGATACCTTTTTAAAACCTTTGCAACTAACAAAATGTGATATGGCTAGAATAGCTTAAAAAAAAAAAAAAAATCCTGAATTGTCAAATAGAAAAATAAAGACAATTTCTATCATTCTTATGACACCAACAGTTCCATCTCGCTAATGTGTTTATGGTGTCTTGCAGGATACTTAGATTTCTTCCCGTACCCTCTCTGAACAGTGCTAAACCACAGCACCTGTGGCTTGTTCAAGTACCAGTTTGTATTTAAGCTTATTTTTAAATGCTTCTGAAATTTTGTATTTAAGTATATTCTTGGTCTAGAGCAGGGTTTAAGTTCTACACACTGCAGAACCAAGATTTTATTAGGCATGACCAAGAATAACTAGTGTGTAAAAAAAATCAAAACAAAGTAGACTGCAACAAAACAGAATCAAATCAAATAAAGCTCCAGTCAATGCCTCTGGATTTCAGAAAAGCTCCTAATGGGGGCAGAATAGATTTTTCAAGAAGCCACTTACATACTCAGATTCTTTTCCTCTCCCCCAGGGCTTTGTACATGGTATCCTCCGGCTTGGAGGTGTTCATCTGGCTGGAACTCAGAAGAGCAGCCCTTTCCAAGTATTCCTTCCCTTCTCCATACAGAGCGGCAACTGCAGTTTGTCTGTGCCCCTCCCCCATTAGAAGGTCCGCAGGAAAAGCCGCATGCCAATCTCATTCACTTAATCATCCACAAGTGGCACAGTGCTGCGTACATAAAATACTTCCGTCGGATTCACTGTTCCCTTAAGCTTAGGAGTTAAAAATCAAAGGCTATAGGGAGAGGACTACATAAAGGAGCAAGCAGGCTGGAAGGTCCGGGACTCACAGCCCACTGCGGAGTCTCTGAAGGAGGAGAGAGGGATGCGCGGCTCCGGAGGCGGCTACTCCACTCCTCCCAGAAGGTGCTCTGCACAAACCCAGAGCGTGGCTGCAGTTGCCTGATCTTCGTATCATTCATGTTACCAGAATTGGAGTGGTTTTTTTTTCATGTCAATTTCCTGATTTTTAAAAATGCTGGCACTGAATTCAAAATATTTTAACCAACCACACACTGTGCGGGGCCAAGGAAAAGAGGCCCAAAAGCCAGAAGTGGCTGACAAATTTTTGCAGTCTACCTGGCCTCTCCCAGAACCCCTTCTAATCCTAAACAAGTTCAATCAAAAGATTGACTCCTTTCATTCCACTGGCTGAGAAAGAGTCTTAATGAAACAATGGGGGCTCTTAACAAATTACAAAGGAAAAAATGCCATGAAATCGGGAATTCATATATTTGAAACAAAAACAGTGTATTATTCCATTTTAGTACTTCTAGAACTCAAATCAGTAGACCTGAGTCCCATTCTAGACATATTCTTATGGTACAATGGATTTAAATCTGGAATTTTAGAACTTACAAATCACTATGTGATACTAGCTACCATCATGAGTAGTGCCACCTACACTTAAATAGAGCTCACTGCTTGAGTGTTCATTTTGGCCCCAGAATGTGATTCTGTTTCCTTAGTTGCAAAACACCCTCTACAGCACAAGAATTGTTATAAATGTCAACCGCTCTTCAAGAGCTTTAAATTTACAACATCAAGGTTATGAACAATTTTATTCTGAATTAAACTAACATTTGTTTCCAAGCAATGCATTTATTTGGAAGGATACCAGTTACCAGTCATCAAAAACTTTCATATGTTGAAAATGTAATTTTAATAGATAATTCTTCATCTTACATAGGAGCACAATAAAATACACCACATTCTGAAGAAACTCCAGAAGTCATGAGAATCAAGAGTGGGGGAAATTCAGACGGGCTACAATATCCATTACCTTAAATTGCAAGAGACAAAGATTCCAACCCAGGGGGTGAGGGGGGTGTGGGGAAGGGGTTAACATTTATATACTTGGGACTGGCTACACTGATGACTTACAAAGAACAAGGATAGGGAATCTGATACGGAGAAGGGTGGGAAAGAACAGTTTTTTGAGGGGAGGAACTCTGTCAATGCAGAAAAAAATTACTGAATATCAAACAACAGGAGCTCCCATAGCAAATACTGAAGGATGAAAGAATCATTAACTGAGGATCTGATACTCAAAGGAAGAAACCTTTCAGATGACACTTATGCAAGCTGGTTGCTTGAGATCTGCTCATCAGGTCTATAAGGAAGACTCATAAATGCTTTAGCAACCCCAAACGATTATCAGATTGGTGTTTCCTAAAAACACACACCAGTGGTTACACGTGGTTTCCAGACAAGAACTAAGAAAAGGGTCATATCCCAAATGCCAGATACAAACAAATGTGGCACAACATGTGAGTCCTACACAAAGTCAGTCACAATGCGGCTTTGCTGTGACTCTCCTGTACATGGCAACACCAATGATCATCTACCTAATCAGACAACACCAACACATTTATTCAGATTTCTAGGAGGTAAGAAAAAAAAAAAACCAAATACCGATGCTTTATGCATGCTCAGGGCCAGCTTATAAACACTCCATTCAGTGGTATCTTAACACAAGTTTGCATCAGTGAAAAGAAACTGGCAAAATCCACCTTTTGCCAGATCAACTTGTCAGATGGTAAAGACCAAAAGAGAATGTTCCATCAGTTTTAATTTTTAAATATGATTGTCACATTGGGAAAATGAAATAAACACAGTAAAATAAACTGTACAAAGGCAAAGTAGAATAACAAAAAATATTTTACTAAAACATAAGATTTACAGAAGTTTCCAGACAAGCCATACAAAATGGTCACAAGCTTTTTCTTGAAGGAAGGATTCTACACTTGACAGCAAAGTCACAATGTTATTAGTGAGGGCTGTGATGTTTGTTTAATGTTCCCATTTTGGTTCAATCAAGCTTGTCCATCTACAGTGTCTAAATAAAGTTAGACTTGGCTAGAGAGCATATTCTAAAGAACTGGTTAGCTGCTTTTAACCAATGCAATTAGATCACCATAAAAAGGGGGAAAGGAGCCCATAAAATTAAAATAAAACTACCTCTCCCCCTCAAAAAAGTAATAAAGAAAAACACCCACACCCCTGCAGCTAACCCTGACAACTACCTTCATTCACAGTGCTTAACCATGATGGGGGAAATGAATAAAAGCAGAGAAGGGCTGCTGCTTTTAAACGTTTCACAACAATCCAGATGGTACTTCTAGCCTCTGCTCATGCTTTACAACAGTGAATCAGGACAAGACATAGATTTGCTAATGTGCATTTAATCACCAAAGGACTGAAGATGTCTGGACTTTTATTCTGTAATGTTTCTAAGACTGTGTCCATTAAATGCAAACAAAAAAGGAAGAAGTCTTGGCAGAACAGGATAAGTGATGCACACTTGATGATCAGATCGATTTTAAATATTATTCATGGCATATAGCCTAGTCCATGCTCTAGCTGTAGACAAAAACAAACGTGCAATTATTATTTTATTTAGTTCAATATGTTACTTTCCAAACTCTATAAACATAAAGCAGTATTATGTTGAATGCATGCTATTTTCTATCATCTGGATCAGACAGAAAGACTGTGTGTATCTAATTACCAAAACACTACAATGGAATCCAGAAATTCTACAAAATTCAGCAGGATGAAAAGAGTTGTCTCCTTCATTTTTAGATACGCTCTCCACTAATTTTGTTAAAATCTGTAACAGGAAGAAGCTTACTGATTTTCAAACTCCCTAGCTATAAACTGGCATAGTTTTACTGATCAGATGAATTACAAAAGCAGCTCAAAAGGGTTGAAAAGTTTTCTAGTATCTTCATGTACTGCTAGGTGAATGGTACACAAGGAGTATTTGATAAACCAATTAGAGGCTGTCTTTACATTTGGGGATCATGCAGCAGGCCCTAAGACAGAGTTTAAACATCTGCTGTTGAGAAGTGTTTACATAGTACAAACAGGATATGACTTATTCCTCTTAATGTATCTTTTCCTTTTTGTTAAGACTAGAAAAGAAGTTTTTATAATAGTGGTATATATTGTTTGAAAAAGTGGAGTGGTGTGAAGGAGGGTGGGTATTAAATACCTGTTTCTATGGCTTGGGCCTCGTTGGTCTTCCACTGCTCTGCTACATCGTTTGCTAACGGATCATCCGGATTGGGAGCACTTAACAAAGCCTGGATCGATAGCAGAACTGTGCGGATCTGCAGTGCTGGGGACCACTTATCTATGAAGGCAACAGGCCCAGAATGATCAAGCATGAAACAAAAGCCCCAGAACTACTGCATTGCATTCCCACAGACCTTTGTGGTCTTTACATAAGGCAATGTTCAGATTCTCAATATAAAATGCTTAAGAGAAAAAGGAGAAATCTTAATAGCATATATTAATAAAGGTAACACTTACCTTTCAAAATATCTAAACATATTCTTCCCAACTTGTCTACATTAGGATGATAAATTTTGGTCATGAAACGTACTTTAGGGGCTGCCATCGGGTATTCTTCTGGTAGGAATAGTTCAAGCTTAAAAGTCCCTCCCTCAAAGGGGGAATCCTGAGGGCCAGCAATGACCACATGAAAATAACGGGCGTTGCTCTCATCTGGTTCTGCTTTAATGCCAGGAACTGGTTCTGCCAGCAAACGCTGGGTTTCCTACAACAGAAAAACATGACATATTTATGAAACAAATGTCACTTTGCTAAACACCAAATTAAAAATTAAGAAGTTCATCTCTTGTGGGGCACCTGGGTGGCTCAGTGGGTTAAAGCCTCTGCCTTTGGCTCAGGTCATGATCCCAGTGTCCTGGGATCGAGCCCGCATCCGGCTTTCTGCAAGGCAGGGAGCCTGCTTCCTCCTCTCTCTCTCTGCCTGCCTCTCTGCCTACTTGTGATCTCTGTCAAATAAAATAAATATCTTAAAAAAAAAAAAAAAAAAAGAAGAAGAAGAAGAAGTTCGTCTCTTGTGACTGGACACAACAGAATTTCTTCACTCTCTTGAAGGGTATGTATTTATTTTTTTAAACTCCAAGTTCAAAGAAAACACTATTTAAATAATCCCAATCACCTGAATGCAACTGCAAGTGAATAGTAATGACATACACTGCAGCTGCAAATGTCTGAGCATATGCTGATAATAAAAATTAGGATAATGAAACTGATTTTATACTAAGGAGAGAAGTGAGGAGAGGGGAGTGGAAGAGAGAGGAGGCAAGAGAGAAGAGAAAAAAGAAAATAACACTGGGATTATCACACAGGTAAAGGCCACTTACACTGCTTAAACTCTACCAAAACCTTTAAAAAGTAAAATTAGGGGCGCCTGACTGGCTCAGTCAGTACATGAACTCTTGGTCTTGGTGTTGTGAGTTCCAGCTCCACGCTGGGTGTGGAGACTGCTTAAAAATAAAATCTCCTAGGGAGCGCCTGGGTGGCTCGCTCTGCCTGCTCCTCTGCCTACTCAGTGGGGAGCCTGCTTCCTCCAATCTCTCTGCCTGCCTGCCTACTTGTGATCTCTGCCTGTCAAATAAATAAATAAAAATCTTTTTTAAAAAAACTAAAAAAAAAATAAAATCTCTTAATTTTTTAAAAAGTAAAATGAGTTCTAAAACTCACTGAAAAATCTTTCCTCTAAAAAACAGAAGGGAATGTAGGAGGGCCAAGTGCCTAGGCACCTAGACAGGGCTAGAGAAATATATACAACCTTGACACTGAACCCTTATGCTGCTCCCCAACAATCATTAGTTCTCTTTCCCATCTTTCTCCCTCTCTCCTAAATGTCTAGAACACTCTTCTCTCTTCAAACCTCCAGTATCTCTATCCTCACCCTCATTTTTGGCTGATGACTCTGAGGTCTATTTCACAAGAAAACAGATACTTCCTCAAGTCTGCACACCCACCTTCAACTGTGTGCCCATATGCTTTGCCTGTCCTCTTGTCACTGTGGATAAAATGGCTGTCACCCTTGGCTAAGACTGACCTCTCCTCTAAAGCATTAAATCTTCTCTCCTTTCCACCTATTCCAAGGACATTGCTGTAGGATCTCTTTCTTTTCCTGAACCAGCAGTTCCCCCTCCTCATTGGCTCTTTCCCCAAACTGTACAAACTTGCTGTAATTTCTCCCAGTAAGAGGAGAAAATAACCTTGACCTCACTCTCCCACCACCTCCTCACCAGCTAATGCACCACTGCTTTGCTGCTTTTTCAAAGTTATCTATATCTGATTGTTTCCAATTTTTCTCCTCCCCTCCTATCTTGAACACAACTCTCCAATCAGGGTCTAGCCACTAACGTGCCTGTTGAGGTCACCAGTGATTCCCACATAGTTAAATCAAATAGCCAATGCTTAATCTTCATCTTATTTGACCTAAATGTAACATCTTACCCTGCTGGTCTGCCCTCCTTGCCAAACATCACCCAGCTTCCTACAGCCGAGCTCTCCTGATTCTCTTCCTACTTGTCTAGCTGCAACCTCCTTGCTGGTTCCTTCCCTGACTCCCCAACACAGAAGTGCACCAGGGCTCTGTCCTAAGGCTTCTTTTACACACTTCTATAATGATCCCATGTTGTCCAATGAATCTGAATACTAAATACACCCTGTATACGATGTCTCCCTAATCTCTTATTCAGCACAGATCTCTCCCCTGGATTACACCTCTTCTATCCATAACAATTTGTTCAACAGCTCCTCTTGTGTGTCTTAATGAGCATCCCAACTTGGCATGACTTTCCCCACCTTCAAATATGCTCTTCCCGCAAAGCCATCTTCACTTTAGTTAACCATCAATCCATCCTTCCAACTGATCAAATCTTTCCCTTTATCTCCACCATATCTAAACTGATCGGCATATTTTATTCGCTTGAATTTCCAAATCTACTGGACTGCTTCTTACGGCCCTGCAGCTACACTTATGATCCAAGCCACCATCAGCTCTCGGCTGGTACACTGTAATAGCCAAGCTTTGTTCTTCCTGCTTCTGACCTTGTTCCCCATTCACTCCTGGGTCTGTTCCATGGACCTTTGGAAGTCCTTACAATGACCCCCCGAGAAGAGGTTTTATATGATCCCCTTACTCTGGCTACTCTTAACTCATCTTCAGCTATGTTTCCCCCAATACTCTTACCTGGCGCTTTGCCCCAGCAAGATTAGCGGCTTTGTAATTTTCCAACCTGCTGGACATACTCCTCCCTCAAAAGCTTTGCCCTTGCTTTTTATTCCCCTGAAATTTCTACCTGGTTTGCTACCTGAGAGCTCCTAAGATCTTCATTCAAATGTGTTTTCTCGGGTAAGGCCTCCATTATTGAAATTGCAAAAGCCCGGTCCACCTAATCCCAAACCCTCCCTATCCCTGTTGCCCTAATGTTATCTCCAGAGCTCTACTAACACATTACATATCTCACTTATTTTGTTCAGAATAGAAGTGCCATAAAAGGAGATTTGTGCCTATTTACTGCTATATCCTCAGCATTTGGAACAGTGCCCAGCACCACAGATGTTCAATAAATACTTGCTGAATTATGAATCTATTTGATGTTACAAAGAACAAAGAATAAACTATCAGAACTGCATCTTCAACATTAAAGCAGTGTTATTCAAAGCAGGATATGCACATCACAGGAGGATAACAAAAGGATCCATTCACACATGGGAAAAAATAACCTAACTTTTATTTATAAACATACTTTTTTAGCCAAAAATAGTTAACACTCAATAAAAGAAACTGGTAATTCCATGTGTAATTTTATATGTTAGTAATATACATTCAACATTTTGAATAGGCATGTGCAGTTGAAGTTTTAGAACACTGCTATATCTGAAGTTTTAGATATGAAAAACAATGAGAATACTGTATTTACGCCACCTTCACTTATGAAAAATCCTACACCTTACACCATTCCATTCTACAACCTACAGGGTACACACTAAAAGAGATTTCCCTGTCTTATACTGAAATAATCATAAGATGCACATAAAAAATTAAACCCTTTTCCAAACTGTGTTAAACCCATAGCCATTTAAAGCAATGCCTTTAGTACTTTAACTAGAGACTGGTTTTTTGTTTTTTGTTTTTTTTTTTTGCTTTGTTTTAATCATAGCAGTGCAAGGGAAATGAGAAACTGAAATGCTGTGAACTACTTTTAGCAAAATGTTCTTTGGATTCAAAGTAAAACATTTTTACTGCATAAAAAATCTCAGAGGGGCACCTGGGTGGCTCAGTTGATACTTGCCTTCAGCTCTAGCACGGCACTGGGCTCCCTGCTCAGTGGGGAGTCTGCTTCTCCCTCCCTCTCTGCCCCTCCACGCCCCAGCTTGTGCATGCTGTCTCGAACTTGCGCTCTCTCTTCCTCTCTCAAGTAAATAAACAAATCTTTAAAAAAAAAAAAAAAAAAAAAAAAACCCCTCAACAGGCAATAATGAAGCCTCCCACTGTAGGAAGTCCACCAACATGGAATTAGAACAAAAGAGGCAGGTCTTCATTTTTAGCAAAAAAAAAAAAAAAATAAAATAAAGATACTAAGGACCAACCGTAAGAGTAAAAAGAAATGAGAAAAAAGCTAGATGGTAAAATTCCTTGAATTCTGACCTCTCCTCACCTCTACCCTCCTTTTGTTTTGCCCCAGGTCTTCCTATTTTTAGAAATCCAGAAGTTGGAAGATTAGGGAAAAAAAGAAAAGGCTGGGGTCTAAGGGCCCCCAAATCCCACTCCCTGGTTACACAAAGTAGTAGCAGCTCTATTCTAGGCTATAAAAAGCAGCCAGAAGGGCCTCCAAGATCATATCCCAAAATAGCCTCAAAATCACACTTAGAACACATTGTCAGATTCATCATTCCTTCCTCATCCTCAGTTCCTCCTCAAAATAAGACTCTTTCTAAAGAATGTACATATTAAACATACCACATGGCCTGATCAATTATAAAATTTAATCAGAACACATTCTAGCATAAGCCTTTACATATGGAAAACATTTTGAAACAGTTTTTATACGCTCTCAAGTTCTCATGGATTTTGATATAATGAAGAGATGCTAATTATCTGACTACATGGCACTGATTTCCCAAACAAACCCACAGCATAAATTATGGGAGGAAAAAAGAATAAAATCCAAACCAAATGGAACAAGTCTCATGCACAGAACTTAGAGTCCATTTTTTTCCTGAAAAAGGCAAAAGTGGGTAGGAAATAAAATCCTTCCCGCTAGTACTCACACATGGGTAACTATGAAACACATTCTAGTTTTATATTATTCTTTGGTAAAAAGACAAGTGAAGTACAGTATGATTTCTTCAAGTCTAGAAGTAACGGGTTCAAATTCCTTCTGCACTGCTTACGTAACTATTACTTTTGAGCAAATAATCTACACTGCTCTGAGTCTCAGCTGACTTATCTATATCATAATTAAGATTACCTCTCATGCAGAGTTGCTATGAAGATCAAAAGAGGAATACTGCAGAAAGACTTAACAAATGAGATCACATAGGAAGGTCATAGCCATATACAACCAACTCAAAAAGAATTAAGAACAAAGTACAGTAACAAATCTTAAGATTTATTAAACAACAGTATTTATTTTTTTTTAAAGATTTTATTTATTGGGGCCCCTGGGTGGCTCAGTGGGTTAAAGCCTCTGCCTTCAGCTCAGGTCATGATCTCAGGGTCCT